AAGAAGCAACAGATTCTTCTCTGTAGTCTGTGTTGTCAGCCTTTGTTGCAATGCTGTTTACAGACATTCTCCATTGACATCACTTCCTGTTACTTCACATGTGAATATCTTAACAGCTGTTTAACTCAGCTGTGTGATTATTATTATTTTTTTGCAATATGTTATCAATGTTATCTTTTCAAAAATGCATTCATATTCATTACAAAAATTCGATGTCTCTGGTTCTTTAAGTTTAACTTCTCTCTGCGGGAAAGGTTACTGTCATATTTGTCTAATGCATGACGCACATTTGCTTGTATGCTTGATTGATTATCCTCAAAGAACAAAGTTGTTTTCCTCCTTTAAACCTCTTTATTGTTTTTCCATTGATAAAATTACAGTTAAATAAAATGTTTGTCACGAACGCTAATATTTAATGATTTTCCTTTTTTTTTTTTACTTTTGCATACACATTTTACATGAGTTTGATTACAGGTCAGCAAGTTTATTTTTTACTTTTATTCATTTTTCACAGCAGATAACATCTACTAGATGAACATTAGCTCTGAAGTTTAATGTAGGAAACCTTTGTACCAGCTCCCGCATTGTTGGGGGGGGGGGGCATCGATAGGAAAGCAGATAAAGCTGATCAATATGGAGTGCAGTTTTCTCCGCAGGCCTTCTTTCATATCTCCCTCTTGTTTGTGTTTTGAAGGGGTCGGGGGGTCGGGTCTGCTAAAAGTGGTGGCGTGGGCGGGCTTCTGCCCCTTTATCAATCAGGATTTTAATTACACACGTCTAGGGCGACAGCTAGATTAGAAACCAATCGACGCTATCGGCCACAAAATCTAATTACTGTTTATTGACAGATAAGGGCAGGCCCCCTTCACTTTTTCAAAAAAGATAAACCTCCCCCCTCGTACACAATGAACAGCAGCTCATACTGTCCATGAAAGACGCTATGATGAGTAAAACCCTCGAAAAATTCCTCTGCTCTCAGTTGTTACACAATATAAGAGCTATACTCAGTTACCTACAGCTAAAGGCAAAAGAGCAATCATGTTTTTGCAAGTAATCCCTGACATATCAAACTCTGAATGAAAACTGGTTAGCTATGTTTTTAAAACTTTACTAATAACTACTGGAGACAGTTCTGTCTGTTAGCTTAATGTTTTTAAAAGTAGTTGAGTCAGAGCCATTCCTGTGTTACCAAAGGTCAGTCTTAAAATGACTGACTCCAGAAGTTTATCGGTTGTGTATTTATGCTCAGTGGTTAGTTTTTGAGAGTTTTATTAAAATCTGGGTGACTGTGGCTGAGTGCTTGGTGGAGYTGTCCTGTAACCAGTGGGTTGCCAGTTCGATATCCAATTATGTCCGCCTTGCCTACTGGTGGTGGTCAGTGGGCTCTGTAGCGCCGGTGAGTGCCCCAGGGCAGCTGTGGCTACATTGTAGCTTACCACCATCAGTGTGTGAATGGGTGAATAAGTGTAAAGAGCTTTGGCGTCTGTACGGACTTTAATAACCACCGTATTAATTCAGTCCATTTACCAAATCTGTCCTGTGCTTCATGAGATATTTTGCGACTATGCAATGTGCAAAATTTTCACAATTAAAAGGGGACATATCATGCAGAATCCACTTTTTTAGCTGTTTAATGCATTTTGTTGTGTAGTCTCTAAGAGTGCAGAAATTTTTAATTTAGTCTCTCCAGCTGCTGTGTAGATATCTATACTTTCTGTTTGGTTTGTGTTTTTCAACCTGTTCCATTTTCTGAATTTGCGACAGAACTTTTAAATAGGGTCTGGACTTAGCAACTACTGTTTTGTTGTCTTCRTTCTCTTCTGGCTCTGGGTCAGACTCTGGCTCCAACATGCAAGGCTGGATGGACATGTTGTCCCTTGTTGGTATCTTTAAATTAATTTGTAAATAAAAAGTTTCTGCACCATTATAAAGTCATAAATCCTCTCTATGAAATTAGAATAGATCGCTCTGGAAGCTGGAGGGGGTYGGGGTGTAAAGCGCCTCATTTGGATTTAAAGAGACAGCCTCAAAATGAGTTGAKCTTAGACACACAAAAGGGGTGAAAGAGGGGCTTGTGGAGTTACAATATGGAAGAATTCAGACCAAAGCATTGCAGTTMCACTTTMTATATARAGCCCGACTGAATGATTTAAATGTGAAAAAGACAAATTTAAAAACATGGCATGTCTCCTTTAACTGTAAGATTCTTCAGTCTCATTCAGCTCCGTATCTTTTAACTTTGATAAAACTGAGGTTCCCAGTTTTAATGTTATAAAAAAAAAAAAAAAGAAAACAATGATGTTCTAATATGGACTACAGGATGACCTTTAACCCTGCAGAGTGAGTTCATCCTCACTTCCTTGAACTCCCTCACTCCGAGCTCCAAGCTGCCCCTCCRCAACTTCATCCATATCAGACTTTTTCCAGCCTCCGTCTGCATGCGATGCGTTTCGCCTTTAAGCTGAGAACCTGCCTCAGGTAAATATGGAGTAAATGATTGGATTATTGTTCTTTCATTCGGCTGTGTAGTAATGGGTGGATTATAAACATTGCAGAGTATAGATTTCCTGTCAGATCCTATGAATCAGACATCCTTATCTCATTTCCAGACTGCCGCTCCTCCCCAGCGCAAACCATCTCCCGGCACGGGAGACCTACAATACATCCATGCACACACAAACAAACACACTGACAAACAGACAGAAACAGAAAACGTAAACACACACATACAGGTTAGGCTGTGAGTGACAGAGACAGAGAGACTGTTGTCACCCAGTGCAGCACAGGCACTCCAAAGTCCATTTGAAGATTTAAAAAAGAAACACTAAGGTCTCCTGTCCATATTTGTTAAGCAAGTAAATCTAAGAGCTATGGTGCGCAGAATTCAAAAAGAGAGGAGAACCATCAATGCAGAGAGCATGAGAGTGAGGGGGGATAGAGAGAAAGATGTCTTCTAAATGAAATTTAGGCAAGGGTGGGATGTGGGGGGTGGCTGACGGCTGGTGGAGGGAGAGAGGCTCTGATTGGGTTTGAATCATAAAGAAAAATGTTTGGGTTTGAACAATGTYGTGTTTTTTGACCAGGGCTGGAGATGGATGCTCGGACATCACGTCAGTAGTTGTGTTTTGATACGTTTCACGTTTTTCTCCCTGTGACGGCCTTTCTGCCTCTTCTCTGAGTGTCTTTTCAGTGGATTACCAACACTGTAATTGGGTTAGAGGGGACTGCGTGGACCAGCAACTGCAGCATAAACATGCTTTTTGATGGAATCCATCAGAACGCCCTGCACAACCGCAGGGAGACAACAAAACAACAGTCCAAMAGTGCTTTTCCAAAGAACAGTGTATGCACAGACCTCTGTACGGAAATACTGGCTCTGACTGTAAAATAAATATAAAAAAATGCAGAACTTTTATTGGGTGAATGCTATGAAGCATTCACACTACTCAGATGATCTGTTTTCTTCTGTATGTTTTTCAGCATCAACAACTCATTTATCAAAACGTTCAGCTCCTTCAAGACATTCCAGCTATGACATTTGGTACTTAAGCAATTAATACTCATTGAGATATTAAGGCTTTTTAGCCATTTTTTAACTGAAGATAAATGGAGTTTTTTAAAACAYATTTAAAACCTTTTCTGCACTTTACACGTTTTGTTCAGTTTTAGCTTTTTTTTTACTTCTTTTCACTAATTTTAGTCTTTTTCAGCTTCTTTTATGCTGATAATATTTTTGCGTGTGCTTTTTCAGTTATCATTCTGCTCTTTTCAGTTTTTCTGCCGAAAAAGCAAATTCTCTAGCTTGTTCTAGTTTGAATGAGCTGAAGGTATTTATTTTAAGAAATTTGCAAATTCAGTTTAAAATATACAAAAAACTTGTTTTTTTCAATTGTAGAAACACTCGCAAGATATTTCAGAAAATTCTCAACTTCAGCTGAATAACATAACAAAGTAGTTTCCATACATTTATGTTAGACTGACCACAAACATGTCAATTCTGACTAATTTTTTGGGGGGGGGGGTTTAATCTCAAAAATCAAGTGGTTTTTAATCATCAGATTGGAAACAGCTGTTTTTTTTAAACAGATTAGGTCAGGTGTGCGCTCCAACATTATCAGCTCTAAGAGATCTGCATACAGTTGTAGTTTTTTCCTTCAAATGTTTCTGCTCATCTACAAAGAGACGGGTGTTTAGCTAAAACTTTTAAACATCCTCAGATGTGAGAAGCTGAGACCTGAGAATTTCAGGTCAATCCTAAAACGGAACAAGTTGCTGATTAGATAAATCTGCAGCTGCTGTTCGGACAACTAACTTTAAATCTGAAACCAACTTCATAAACCCTCTTTTAAATCTGTGATATTTTAAATTACTTCTCGTCTCTTGACTCAAACTTCTACGGGTGCGTTTCTTGTTTTAGTCGGTTACGACTCCCTGTGTGAATTCTTACTGTTTTGTGTACACGGACCGGTTGTGTGTCGCTGAGAGACACTCATCTCTGGTTAATGCGTGTGGAACTGAACAGGATCGCTGTGGTGCCGARGCTCTGTGCCATTACATTTATAGATTTTTCTCTTTGATGGGATAATTTGGTCTTTATATCTCTCACAAATGAAGTGATCCTTGGTGCTCCGCGCACAGCTCAGCGTGCAGGGTCTCATTTTCAAATACAGTTAATTGCATTCGAAAAGAATCAATGATACTTTGGCGGTGACAATATCATTCTTTTAATGTCACTTAATTTCCTCGGTGAAATAATTACATCAATAGCCTGGAACCCATTTCTATCTTTCAGCATGAATTAATCTATTAAGGGCAATAATTACACGTTTGTAATGGATAGGTTTTTGTATTTGAAGGAAAATGCAGTCAGGTTTCCATTGTGTGCCTGGATGTTGGCACTGTCCTGGCTGTCATTCATTCAGTTTATGAATCACACCACATCACGGGAGGGGGGTGGGGATGGTTGAAACAAATAAATAAATAAAATTAAATAAGGGTACCTCTGATGCAGCTCCTTGGTGGCCTTGTTGTGCAATAGCCCTCCCTCTAGTGGAGATGATTAAGAGCTGTTTGCTGCTGCCAGCCAGCTCTGCTCCACAGCTGAGACAGCCAGGAGCTGTGGAGAGGAGAGAGAGAAAGAAAATATTAAAATTGTGATAAAAATCTATTTTTATTAAAGTCCTGGCGTTCTTTAAAGAAATGCAAATAACCTGCCAGCTTTAAGTGTTAAATTAAGTTGATCTTATGATGAAAAAGGAACATTTTAAACTTTGAAAATAACGTTACGCACAACATTGCAATATCATTAGCATTTGGAGAGTTGTGAATGAGAATCAGCTACAACAAAACCAAATTTGACCTCAATATCTGAAAAATAAACTGAGGTACAGCCAAGGTTTTCTAAGGTCAGTCGGCTTTGGCGGCCATCTTAAATTGGACTGACTCCAAAACTTAATCATTTATAGATGTATATTTAGTGATTATTTTTTGAAAGTTTCCCTAAAACCCACACAGTGATTCATGAGATATTTTGCTAACAGAAAACAGAGCTGATTCCAACAATTAATGGCACATTTTAAAGAGATCCCGCATGATCAGTTAGTGCTCAGAGAATGAACTGGGGATCAGGCTCAGACACTACCACACAATAACTTACTATAATGCCTCTAAAACTGAGTAAGCTGTAGTCATTTGTGTTTTGCTTTGGCGGCCATATTGAATCTGTTTGATTCCAGAAGTTAATCAGCTGTAGTTGTGCAACTAATGATTACATTCTGAAAGTTTCATTTAGGTCATTCCAGCGGTTTATGAGAAACCTTGTTAACAGACAAACGAGCACACATACACAAAACAACATCCTATTTATAACCTGCATTCCAGAGGACGCAGAAAATAGCGGCACGTGTAAATATTTCAATCAAAAATCAGGTGTGCGTCACGTGCGAACCTGTTACTTGATACAGTAAGTGAGATCTCTGCAAGCAGACGCGACGTTTCTTATTGTCTTCTTACTTATTCATCAGGTGAAACTGAAGCTGACAGCCACGCGCTTCTGCTCCTGCCGTCACCTGCCGCTTTCTCAGGTGAGAGCCCACCCACCACATCCCGGGGAGAGGGGCGGCAATTACAGCTGGAACAGCTGCTACAAACACACAGAGGCTCTGGACACAGAATTAGTTTAAAAAAAAGTGTAGCCTATCCTTTTGTTTTGTTGAGATTTCTCTTAAAACAGAACAAAATTAAAACGACACACTTTTAAGTTTTCCGTGTCTACCTGGGGGGGCTACTTTTTGGCGCCCCCGCAGGAATAGGTGGAGGAGAAGAGCGAGTGTGTGCTTGGTTTACTGCACGGTGCGCACCGGAGGAGGAGTTGACAGCGCGGCCGCTGTGTGYGACGGTTAAACGGTGCGCGCAGACACGCACAACCACATCACCACTTTCACCAGCACAACCTGGAGGGGACCTCCGCAGAAGCTGCTGTGTGTCCTGGCAGCCCTGGTGGGATGATGACAGGACACGACTTGTCCGAGTAAGGTACACGTTCATCCACATTCGACACACAGTRATGGTGCTGCCCCGTTTCTTGTCGTTTTGGTCTTTTTCGAACAATTTGCACGCGCGCTTTGGCACTAATTAAGACATGCACGTGCCCCACTTCCCCTCTGGGAACTGYGACTGAATTATGGGATCGATTTTATTATTTTAGGATGAACCTAAAATTGATTTTGAAGTCCAAGCTGGTAATTTTAGGAATAATTTCGTAAAATATTTGTTAAATTAATTTAAAAAAAATGTTCAAAACGTGCAGTTTGTAAAGTATATGGAGTTTCTTTTTAATAAAACGTGTAAAAGCAGACAAAATAACAGTTTGTAAAAC